GTGTATGGTTTACTAGAGTGGCTACAGTGCTCTTTGGATCGGCACTTGGTATTAAGATGTCGGGATGTTAATATTTTAATCAAGCAGCTGTTTCATTAAAGGTGTCACCCGTAGCAGCGGCCACATGGTGAAGGCTTGCAGGGTCTGATGTCCTTGGGGGGTGCTCCCCCCGAAAATGTTTGCATAATAATGCCCGCCATGTTCAAAGTGGAGATGGCCCTGGTGATGAGGATGGCGTGCCTCCTACCTTTTTATTAAATTCGGCTGACCAATGTTTGTTGTTTTGAGGTTTGGTGTGAAGAAGGCATGAATTCTCAGTGTGTAACTAATTAGTGTGTACCCATGAGTAGAAGAAAACCCACTTCAAGCCAGCGTGGAATTGATTGATTTTTCTATAAATCATAACCAATGGAAAGCCTGGTAGATGAAGGTGATAAAACAGTTGGTAACTGCGATTGACAAACACCTTTTTCATAGGTCAGAAAGCAGGAATATGCACTTCCAGGGTTTTTTTTTTTTGAGAAAAAGGCTTCCATGAGTAACTCGGGCAATTCATAATAATAATATATTAATAGGTGTTTATTTCATAAGATAAACATACATATCCCTTGTTACAAAACTGTTAATGTAGAAAGCAATCTTATGTACATGAAATGGCAATTAAAATCTAATAAAATTAAAGAACTAACTCGTATTTAAAAATTAGGCACTTTACAAAAGAACGCACAAAACACTTTATGCTTACCTTATTACATGAAATTTTCACAACGCATTAATTTCGCGAATTTCTTGGTTGAAAAAAAAGTCGCGACATTTAAGTGACCCGAAAATTAAATGTCACCAAAATAACATGAAGCGAAAATTAAGTGACTCACATTATGTCCTTAATGAAAAAAGCGACTTTATTACCACAACACATGTTTATAACAATCATTTTGAACTATTCTGTGCTAGAGTTCTGGTCCTCTTCATCACTACTGCTTTCTGTCTCCACTCCAGGTAGCACTTCTTTTGTACAATCCTCAAGCTGTCCATTTACTGGCTCATTATAGTGCTGTTCCACTAGTTGCTTAAACCCTTCAATTGCTTCAACGTTCTTTGTAGATGCCTCCATTCTTACTGTCGCCTCTACAGGAATTCTCCAAGCCTCCTTGTATGAGTGACGATCGTCAAAAGTATGCGTCCTTTACTGTCACGAAGAGATGTGGTAAATGACCAAGTGTAACATTTGATAGTCATCCGAGAAGCAATTTTGTCGCGGCTATTACGTATCGATCATGTTGGTTGTTTCTTTCAAGGATGCAGGAGAGAACGTCTCCAACCTTAGGTTTTCATATCTCTCTATACACGTGAAAGCCTCTGAGGCCGCAGGGAAAGGAATATTGAACAGTACCAGAAACTGAAGCCATCATCAAAACCCGGGCATCAAAATCAAAGTGCCTTCTTTAGCAGGGTTCAAGGTTTTAAAAACATCTAAGGTATTTCCAGTATTTTGACAGCTGACGATCACATATCCCTGCGCACCACATCAATACACGTGTTTTCTGTGGAAATTACACATGAGTGTTCGTCTACTACCTTTACATGTCTTTGTTTCAGTTTGGTTGCTCTCTTAGAAGAGAAGAACCTTCGCCTGAAGATTCAGTAGAGGTAGAAATGCTTGAATCACATATACCGATGCAGGAGGATACAAATTTAGGAGTGGTTGAACACAGGGAAACTGTGGCGGCAGTTGTAAACCTTTCAAGACCCGCCGAGATTTTGCAACGAAATCAGTATCCTAAGAGAAAAAGGGGAAAATATTTTCAATACAGCGGAGAGGATCGTGTAACAATTGGGAAATTCGCAAGTGAAAGCACAAAATCGCGAAATTAAGGTGTCGCAAAAATTTCATGCAATAAAGTACTTTAGGTTTCACTGTTGATTTTCATGTAATTTGGTACCTAGTGTTCGTTACCTCTGGCAGCATGTCATAAAGCGGGTGACCCTCTAAACCCATAACTTAAGTGCATATTTTTTATCTTGTTTTTCTAAAAGATTGCCGATATCAATAGTATGCGATATGTACCTACACTTCTTCGATCTATCCAAAAAACACTGGATCATTGTTAGCTTCAGCCGCTCTATACACCGCAAGCCCGTATGAGACTGTTAGGTAGTACAATGTATAGGTAGTCAATTTATTTCTGATTGTACCCGTCTCTTCTAAGCGTCCTGAGCACGTGGAGAGACTTGTTTGCTTTTCTGAGTTTATTTTTTGCATGAATGTTAAATCTGGTGTTGGACTGAAAAGTAACACCCAGCAAAACAAGATCCTTGACCTGAGGTATTCTAGCTACTCTATCAAAGATTTGTGCATTGCCTTTTTTCATAAAGGCAAGTTCTTTACATTTACTAGGATTACAGGTCATACAGTTGATTTTTGACCATTCTAAGAACTGCATTACTAACTTTTTCGAACAGTCTGTATCCCTCGAGACAGGTGCAATTGTTATGGTGGATTCTTTCCCATATTTATGCAAACAAGTTGTAGAGCCATTTTTTATCTCGAGGTCATTTAGAAAGGGGATTTAACGTTTATCTTCCGATTTTACAATCTAGATGTAGATACGAAACAAGGAGGCAAGACACCAAGAAACAATTATGTTTATTTTAGCAGGTATTATTTTTACTTCGCTTTATACCCCTAACAATGAACATCTTCACCCGTAACATCAAGTTGACTCAACCGTAACAGGTGTTACAGGTTAGGGCGGTTATTGACATCCCTGAAGATGTAAAACAGGAAACAATCTTGATTCATGTCTGCTGATACTAAAGCATGTATATTATTATCCAGAAAATGATAAACATGGAAACATCAACAGTTTCTCAATCTCATTAAATATATTAAGTAATGCCTCTAGTTATTGATATTTTTAATAGCTAAGGAAAACTGAAATTTGATTTTTCGACGACCCGTCCCTGGTCATACAGTGCTTCTAAGATAAAGTTCCCATCAAAGCCACACATATTGTGAAAAAAGGTGATGACTTTGCGGGGTCTCTTGTCTCCCTCCACTTCCGTTAGGCCTTCAAGGGCTTGCAGGAAATCTTCAATGTTATTGCAATGGTGAATCACATCACCATCCTCTTCTGACGACCAGCAAATGAGGTTAGGTATAAAGATTCTTTCCTCTGTTAAAAAGCATTCTATATCGAAAAAATGTAATAATGGAGGGGGTGGAGGGCCTTGTTTGTCTTCATTCTCATCCTCCTCTTCATTGAATTCATTGGGGTCTCCCAAGTTAGCATCTTGGGGGATGTATTCTTCAGGTCTGACAGGTTGAATGAAACACTGATGATTTACATGGCAGAATTCACCGCAATTCGTGCAGATGGCGTAGTAACACTTATGGGTTTTTTTAGGATTAAACTGGTATTCTGCTGAGCACTTTAAACATTTTCTCCACCTTTCGCAAAGACTTAAGTCTCCTTTCTTGTTGGCTTTGGCCTGCGGGCTTCATAGCAGTCTTGTCCATAGAACTTATAATGGCAGGATGTGCATTCAACAGTGGGTTTAATCCAGGCTGCGTAATTGGGGCAGGTCTTATTGCGTCGACAGCAGGCAGCGCAGTTCTGTCCATTGCAATTATGGTGGGAGGAATCTTCTCTATCATAGGCCTTATCGCAGAGAGGGCAGTATTAGGATAAATTAATGAGGGCGGGGATGCTGATTAAGCCATAATGATGATGATGTTTGACTGAAGCAGTGACATGAGGTGCATCATTGTACCCAGCTTCTTTAAACACAAGCAAACACTTCGAGGGTTCTACAACTATGAGTTGCTATCCCTGTCGTCCTAGAAATTCTTGAAATTGGGTCAATTCTTCAAAGCCACAATCGCCCCAGCACAGCAGAGGTCATCTTTGTATATTCAACAATTGGCAGTTACTTAGATGCAATTAGTCTACGAATGATAAGAAGCGAGGAAAGACATTTGTATTTTACTTGCCGGCAAAGATACATTGAAGCAGTAATGTGTGACACAAGTAATGTGGGTATGCAGTCATGCACAAAGTCTTGTTATTCAATTGAATATTCAGTCCGTGTTGAATGACCAAAGGCCGCTGATTTTCGATACAAAATAATGAAACAGCTTAAATTACTGGGGTTTAAAGCTTAAAATCTCGCTACACAGTTAAAGGAATGCCGCTGAAAATACGTTTGGGTCTAAGAAATTTAAGTCTGTTACTTGTGCAATATGAGGAAAATCAACTTATTACATAATTGTAACAAGATCATCTTGGAGAATATGCCAATGACATGCTGTTGAGGCATAAAACATAAGAAAGTAAGTACAATGAGGATACCACTAGGGGTTTCAATGTGTTTGCAGGTTACCCTGCGCTGGGACATTAGACTCAACCCTCCAAAAATTTGTCTTGGCAAAATACGCATTCCTGTTGTGGTTGAAAGTAGACTAAAAGCACATCTGCCAAAATAAACTGTTATAGTAAAATTACTGTAGCTGAATGTAATTTAATATCATCACATACCCTCAAAAACACAAAAACCATTTACCTGAACTTCACATAAAACTTGAAGCTGTCTAGAAGAGTTGGCCCAAGCACTACTTTCTGTTACGCTTCAAAGTTTTGGTCCCTCCGGTCAAACCAAGGTGGATGTTCTTCTATCGGCTCAATTTCTACATGGTCGTATCTTAAAGAATTCCATTTAAAAATTCCAGCTTCTGCTGCCAAGCAGCCAATGCGTATATTTGAACTTTGAACCTGAAAGGGATCTATACGAAATTTGACAGAATGAAGAACAATCTATAAAGAAGCAAAACCTTACATATAGCTCAATGTTCAACATCTAACTTACCTATGAGCTTCTTAATGGAGGATGATGTGTCTGGGCAAACTTGGATAACATTGAAGACTCTGGAGTCTTGTTCAAGGTATTCTTATCCATCATACTTAATTTCAACCCAACATGTCTTTTCGAGAACGTCTATTTCAATAACATAGGCACTCATCATCTCCATTACGTAGCAACAGAGGTTTTTGGCAAAGGAGAGTCACACTGGCCATCGCTACAAACAGTAAAAAAAAAGGAGCATTATTATGGTCTAAGTGAAAAAAAAATCGCTACAAACAGTAAGATTGTCATTAGCAAATTGGGCCCACAGTTCCTCTGTCATATTTTCCCACCATTTATCAGTTACAGGGGCACAATGCAGTTTGTGGACTCTGTTAACGAACTTTTGCTGGTAAAAAGATGTCATTGCTGAGTTACAATTTCTTGTGCTTAAGAGTAGCTCAGAAAATGACTGCGAGTAAAGTCTTTTTTCTTTATTGAAGACATTACATCAAGCTCCTTCCTCCCAAACGCTTTAAGAATATGCTAAAATAAATTCTTATTCAACAATATATTTTTTCTGGCTCTCCGTTGCTTGATACTGGCGCTATAAGTTTTCTTTTGCTGTCTTCCCTTTTTGTCTTTACTTATTTACTAGCTTTTTTCTGTTTTTTTTTTGTGTGCGTGTTTTGTGTGGCTGTGTGTACCTGGTGTACCTGACCATTACAACTTCACGCCAATTTAAGTGTGTACCCCAAATTTTGGGGTTATCAAGTATTCATATATTCAGGCTATTGTTCTTGCCATTGTCGATTACCTTCCGAAGAATCCACGAGCGGAATTCCTTTGATTTAGGTGCGATATGTCTCTTTTGTTTCGAATTTTGTTGCTTGATTGACTTTTTAATCCCCATTGTTACCTGATGAGTATTAAAAATATGCATTAAAATACTCGGACCTTCCTGTTAAATTTGTTGCGGTCTGTGGGAACGCTTACAAGTCTTTTAAGTGTGGCGGACAACTCTGGTTGCATAACATATTTTCGGTCACGCACTGTATTACAAACGAAACAAGCCTGATAAATTTGAAGTTGACTATTGCTTATAAATACCTGGTCTCCTATGGTATCTTTTTATTAAATACTCCCTTGCCTTGAAAATAACTTGGTGTTTAAAGAATTGCTGCGGAAGGTATTTATTAGCACGTTTTATCCATTCAGTATTATCAAAACCTGCGCTCTGCAATCAAGAGCGAACACTCTCTTCAAAATGTAAACAACGAAAGCGGTGAATGCATTTAATGGGATGACACAGATTTATCAGTGTGTAATTTCACTTTTTTGGACGTTTTCGCTTGCCTTTCAGTTTTTTTTGTTGAAAAAAACCTTGCGTTTCAGTTACGTGACTGCTGGGCCCGAAAAAACCGCGTATTGTCAGTTCACCGATTTGCATGACAACTTTATTCGCGGAGCTAATCGAGTGAGACAGGAAATATCTAAAACTGTAATCGACAGATCAAAACTTGTGGAATTCATAATTCCTCGAAATAATTTCGTAGAAACGCTTGTATAGTTTGATTACTCTGGAGAAATGAATAACTGTTGTGACTGAATGAATGGATAACTCTCGGCCGGCCGGATTTTATTAAGCGATAGGCGAGAAAAAATGCTTCAGCGGCTTGCTTTGTACTTCGAAACCTCGGCAAGAAAAAAAATCCAATCTCGGTCCACAGTGGTCGAAATTTCTCGTTCAAGATCTCTTTTTGAAGCTCTCAAAACTCTCCTTTTTGAAAGATACGTACCCAAGTCGAAGAAGTTTTGCGAAAGACTTAAATCCATAAACTTCTACCGTGATATGTGCGATAATTCTCTGCAGTTTTATTGACACATTTAGAACAAAAGGATACCTTTAAAACTTCGTGGCCCTAGGCAGCTTAATTAAGCCATTGTTCAATTCCTTTGAATTCGCTTCTGAGTCTTCCGCCATAAAATCTCACCTTCTTTGAACCGAGTCAAAACGAGCACTCTCGAAGGGAAAGTCCGGAGGAATAAACTGAGCCTTCAGGGTACAAAATCCAGCGGTTATGCCCATTTCTGAAATACACACTTAATCGGCGTGGAGTTGTAATGCTGTTTACAAAGTCATTTATTAATGACCTAAGTAAGGTTGCCCCATCTTTTTAGCTGTCAATGGTTATTATGGGCAGCCAGTACTCTCTCTGTATTAAATAGATAATTTTCCTGCTCCTGCTGGTCCACATCTTTTCTTGAAGATCTTGTAGTTTCTTCAGGTACCACCCGTCTCTTTTGCTTAGGTGAAGGTAATCTTCAAATGCTTTGATCCACCTTTCCCTATACCTCCTCTCGTTGGTAACACCTCCCACCATTCCCTTTGGCCTCTTGCATTTCCTATCATCACAGTCTGTTAAGGTATCCACCTCCATCATTTTGTTTGTGTCTGGTCACACCAATTAAAGGGTGCAATCGAGAACTCTAGACCCTGACAATTTGGTAGCCCAAGATTCTTCATTCATCCATGGTTTAGATTGCATAAAAACTTCCCCAATACATTTTGTGCATTTTTACGTTTGAGGACAAAGAGAATCTACTCAAGGCGGTATCCATTTTTTAATGTTACACATGAAGTTAAGTAAGTGGACCTCAAAAGCTGGCATGAGTGCATTTCTGATGTTTTCTCTCAGCTCTGGGAGATTCATGCTGTCATGGCGTCTGAAACGTGTGGAAATTGTATAAAAAAAACTACAGAATGTAGTAGACATTGAGACTATATAGGCAAAGAACTTTTAGAAATTGGTGCATGTTAACAATAAGTTTTACCTTTTGCTTCTTTCTTTAGCACTTACCGAATGTTAGAAATCCTGATCGGTTTTCCAAAACAATCTCAATATCTTGCTTTGCTATTTTACGTATGTATAAAATTTTTTCAGAAAAGCTGTTAATAGAGTTGGCAAAAACTGGACCCATAGAGCACGACAGGAGCTATTCATAGTTACTTCATTCACCTGATCCACGTCCTTGTACATATGACCAACCATGAGAAATGAAAAAAAAAAAAAAGACCTATGGAAAGATGTAGAGGACCAAGATATATATTTTTATACTGTACTAGAACCTTGCAAATCAGTTGCAGGAGCAATAGTGCAGCCAACAAAGTTGCACATGGCTCGTTGTCATTCAACTGGTTTGAATGAAGGTATTGTATTGTCTGACTAATTAGAGATTATGTTTTTGATCTTAATTCTTATAATTGTGCGGGTTGATGCAAGAATAAGGAGTTAACATGAGTAAACTTGCGTCTTTAAATATTCCCATTTCAACCAAAAGAGTAAAAAAGCCAAGAATATATCTATTTTTACATGCACAGTAGAAATTACAGTCAATACAAATATGAAGGCAACTGCTCTTCCTTAAACGTAACAAGATGACAGAGACAGCGTTATGCTTCAGTATTACCATTTTGTTTTTTATAGGTTATATAATAACTTTACCAATTCTGTATATATCCTCATGAAAACATTCAAGGTCAGTTTTGATTCGTGGGCCACCTCAGACAACCTATTAAAGTGAAAATTTGGCTGTTTCCATGGGAGATAACACCAGTAATGTGTGTTTACAAAAAGTGTAGGATTTGTCCTAACCTGCAATCAGGTGTCCTTCTTCCCTTTTTGTGTGGGAGACCATTGGAAAAGAGTGCCTGATACATTGCCTTTATGTGTCGTCTGCCCATAGTCCAGAATCTGGACTTTTGTCTGATCGGTCAAAAAACAAAACATCTTTCGGAGCCCTGCACAAATTGGTCAAGGAACATTTCTGGCCTCTGGTGCTATCAGATATGTTTTATCACCTTTGTCTGTTCATGACAGTAAGCACAAGATGATCAAGGAATTTTTTTTACAGCAAGTGTAGTGTTTAAAGCTAGGTCTTATTAATAGTTTTTAAATGAATTAAATCAACGATAAACAGAGAGAAAAACTTTGACAGCTGAGATGGATGAGGATGCAGTTGTTGTCACTGGTATTGAGGATATACCCTATTTCTTCTTCAGTGCCTTCTTGTTTATACCAAGCAGAATTGTTGTCTTTGATTTCTGATTGAGTTCAACTGCACAAAAGTATGTAAAACAATAATTATTGACGATTTTAAAACCGCACTTTTATGTCTGGTAAACAGCTCCTAATAATATGGAACGCGTTTTTTCATTTAGAATGAACCTAACAGACTATTTTGACGGATGAAGGTGAATGTCATGAAAAAGGGAAGGTCCAGGTTCTTTCAGAAGGTAAAATAAATAGTATTTTACAATTATTCCACGAGGGCGCGTTGGATATGAGATGATAGATAGCCAACTCGGCGCTATGCGCCTCGTTGGCTATAATCATTTCATATCCAACAAGCCCGAGTGGAATAATTGTTTTATTAAAAACGCCCACAAAATCTCGTTGAATCGCCCCGACTAGAACAAACCGGAAAAGACAAGGGACTTCCGCTATTGACATGTCACACGTCTATCAAAACTGTCAACGCGCGAACGGGCTCGCCTAGACTGCATGAATGAAAAATCATAACATTGTGCGATGAACATTAGTTTTTTAAAAACTCATCGTGATTCTAGGATTTTACACAGCATAACAACTTAAAAAACCTGGCAGATAATGTGAAGGAAAGGAATTTTTAAGTGACAGCCGTCGAAATTACTATGAATTTGGATTTTCGGTGCAGTTATAAAAGTAAGAACAACGGAGAAAAACTACTGGTATTACCTCGTCACTTGTTATGAAGTTGTTTGAAGCCACAAGCTGGTTTTGCTGAACGAGAAAAGAAGCTATACTGCCGCCTCGATTGCTCTAGTGAATGGCTGCATAGCCTGTATTTGTAGCTGGTTACTTGTGATTTATATTCTTGATGTTGGATAAACAAGCTGTAGTTATCTATCGGTGAGTGACTCGATCGGCGAATGGCTTCGTGATCATGAAGAAGCAACACTTGTCTTCTTTCGTAGCTGGTCAAGGTACTTTAGTTTCATGTGTTTTTCGACAAACTTTCAAACAAGCTCTTGTGGCTTTTTTGTTTGTTTTTGTCTTTTTTCTTTAGTTGAAATTGCATTTCTAGTATTCTAAGAAATGAATTAAAACGATTTGCTTCGGGCGCCGTTCTATCCTTCGCGAAAAAAAATCTCAGCTAGCTTCCAATTTTAAACTGACGCGTACACCGACCATATATGGAGAACATGGTATATTAGCTCATATACCATAACGGCTAAACCAATCAAAATGCTAGAATTGCATTATCCAATGATTCAGTTTTTAATAATATTAATTACATGGATACTGAGTTTACAGGCAATGCATCAAAGTGATTGTTGGCCTTAACTATTCTTGCAGTAAGATACAGTGCTCAGGACAAAGAGCCGAGACAGCTAAGAAATCCCTTGAGCAAGTAAGCGAAATAATTGAAGAGTGTAAAAACACCCAATTGGCAGCAGAAGATTTGGTGAAGTTCAGATGGATAAAAAAGACTGAAGACCTTAGAAGTAAAGTCAAAGGCATGACTTTCGAAAGTAGAACAAGGCGAGAGAAATAGGTGGCCAGAGTATTGTTTAGATGACGTGAAAGAAGACCTTGTGTCGTGTTCCCACGAGTGGAGTTCACAGTGTTCAACCAGATACTCCACTATTGATTAAGGTTTGTTTATCGTAACATAGAAGCATATGGTGAGAACTGAAAATACATAGACACGCATCATGCAAGAAGAAATAACTAAAAATTGAAGGGAAATCCAGTGCAAAACAACCCTAAAATGGAAGACCAAAAATAAAACAGAAAAATAAATATAATTAATGGATAAAACAAGACTACAAATGAGCTTAACACAATGTGTGAATTCACAACACCTTGAGATTATGAGAGAATCACTAGACCGGAAATTGCAAGATCTTAATGGTATTGTAATAAGTCCAGACAGGCAGCTAAAAGAACTGTTTTGTCGTTACTTGAAGACAACTGCATTAAAAGGCATAAAAGTTGGCTCTCGAGCACCTATGAAAATGGATGAAGTGGATGAACGTTTTCCTGAAAAATGCATCGAAGCTTAGTCGTCTGCGCATGGGCGGTGACACAATGCATTACTTTACGTTGGCCACTGCATGAGGAAGGGTGACCTTTTAAGGATTGTAAGCCATAATCGAGCTGAAAGAGGGCTTGAATTAGGCCCTGTTCACAAGGAGGGAGGATAATGCTGCCAGCAGGGTTACCCTAGCACTCACACATTTTTTTTTTTTAGTTGACCTAAATTATAAACATCTGAACAATATGAGATATTTTCTGCATACGATGATATTTTCCCGTGTTTTTATGAATTTAACATGTTTTCCATGGAGAACTTCAAGTTTTATTCTCAATCTTGGACGTTAGGAAGAATGTCATGCATGACAACTCACATCCATAAACTGGTAAAGTTGATTCCGGTGATAGAGTAACCCTTATTGGAAAATTTGCTTGTAAACCAGAGCTAACTTCATTCCCCTTGCTAGGGTAACCCTTTCCTTGTAAACAGGCCCTTAATCAAAAGTTGTGACACTGCTCACACTAGATCATGGTTGAAAAATGCTTGAAGCAGAAAGGCTCAAAGGTCTGGGATTGTTTTGCAGTAAGTAGTCGCTAAAAACTCAAGGAAACAAGCAGATCCATACCCACCACCAAAGAGCGCAATGCAAAAATGCTCAGATGGGTGGTGCTAAGTCTGCAAAGTCAGGCCTTTATCTCATTCATAGCTTTGATGATAAAGCTGCTGTGAAACCTGGAACATCTGAAGGTTTTTGCACTACATACACCCAGAACGTGCTTCGCGCTACGGTTCCTGAAAACGCACCTTCTTTGTCCACATACAACTTTCATGAGAGCACGATGACAATAAGCCTGGAACACTCAGGATTTTCACGAAGACAGTTGTTACAGTTAATGGCCAGGAAAAGTTGAAGATGGAATTTCCGTTTAATAGAGTTTCGAGCCAGAACTGGTTTCTCGGCCATGACCACGCACGTCTAACGCGCCTTGTCTTGCGAAGGGCAATTTGTAGCAGAATTAATCGCTTTCACCTCGACCTCTTTAGGTGCTGCAAAAGTAAGAGCTGCTGCAATCTCGACTCCTGGGTTTGCTGATCAAGAACAAGAAAATAAAATGCGAGGACTACAAGAGCCACAGCTTCTCTTTTAAACGCGAGCATTTTATGTGTTGATTTAGAATTTGCCGCCAGTTCGATTAGACTGTGATTGATGACAGATTTACCTTAGTTATTTGAGCCCGTATAAACACTGTACAAATGTACCAGGGTTTAGTCAGTTAATGTTTACCTTGGTAAACGCTTCAGTGTAAACACAGCATTAGGCATGAAAATCCAAAGCTATTTCAAGTTCATGATGAGAAATGCG